CAGTTAGGAGTAGATAACATCGGTAAGCCAGGCAGTTAGGAGTAGATAACATCGGTAAGCCAGGCAGTTAGGAGTAGATAACATCGGTAAGCCAGCCAGTTAGGAGTAGATAACATCGGTAAGCCAGGCAGTTAGGAGTAGATAACATCGGTAAGCCAGGCAGTTAGGAGTAGATAACAACTTCGGCGTGACACAGCAGTTTGGTGTTACGGCATGGTGCTGATGTTTTAATACATGGACAACGCAGTCCTCAGTCTCAATATGCCAGTTGAAGTTGGATGTATGAAGAAGAAATGCTTAGATATGCACATGCACATGCAAGCCCAATAGACCATCAATGATTGTAAAAATATTTTTCATTAAACAAAAGAATTACCGGTCGGAACTTTATATTGATTGTATCAACGTATTTATTACCTACACATATCAGCTGTAATGTTGTTTTGCTGGGTAGTGTTATCATGACTCTCCAATAATGTCTCCATTGTTTTTTTAATTTTAGGTTTTTATGGAACTCAATATTGATATATAAAACTCCTCCAGATGGACCAATTCTCCGGATGGACTACTCCAGATGGACCAATTCTCCGGATGGACTACTCCAGATTGACCAATTCTCCGGACGGACTACTCCAGATGGACCAATTCTCCAGATGGACCAATTCTCCGGATGGACTACTCAAGATGGACCAATTCTCCGGATGGACTACTCCAGATGGACCAATTCTCCAGTTATGTGATATCTATATACTGTCAATGTTGATGAACATTGTACTGTAAAACAAGTTTTGTAAATCAGGTCTGGTGAAGGTTGTTTAAATTAGGACAGTTGTACATCGTTATAAGGATAGTGTTAACAAGGTTACATAACTCACATAAAGGTCGGGTACCGTGTGTTAACAAGGTTACATAAATCACATAAAGGTCGGGTACTGTGTGTAAAGTGAGGACTGATGATGGTTACATAAATCACATAAAGGACGGGTACTGTGTGTTAAATGAGGTCTGATGAAGGTTACATAAATCACATAAAGGACGGGTACTGTGTGTTAAATGAGGTCTGATGACGGTTACATAAATCACATAAAGGTCGGGGACTGTGTGTAAAGTGAGGTATGATGACAGTTACATAAATCACATAAAGGTCGGGGACTGTGTGTAAAGTGAGGTCTGATGATGGTTACATAAATCACATAAAGGTCGGGTACTGTGTGTTAAATGAGGTCTGATGACAGTTACATAAATCACATAAAGGTCGGGTACTGGGTGTAAAGTGAGGTCTGACGACGGTAACATAAATCACATAAAGGACGGGTACTGTGTGTTAAATGAGGTCTGATGAAGGTTACATAAATCACATAACGGTCGGGTACTGTGTGTACCCCCAGGTCTGATGATGGTTACATAAATCACATAAAAATCAGGTACTGTGTGTAAAGTGAGGCCTGATGATGGTTACATAAATCACATAACGGTCGGGTACTGTGTGTACCCCCAGGTCTGATGATGGTTACATAAATCACATAAAGGCCGGGTACTGTGGGTTAAATGAGGTCTGATGAAGGTTACATAAATCACATAACGGTCGGGTACTGTGTGTAAAGCGAAGTCTGATGATGGTTACATAAATCACATAACGGTCGGGTACTGTGTGTTAAGTGAGGTCTGATGACAGTTACATAAATCTCATAAAGGTCGGGTACTGTGTATAAAGTGAAGTCTGATGATTGTTACATAAATCACATAACGGTCGGGTACTGTGTGTACCCCCAGGTCTGATGATGGTTACATAAATCACATAATGGTCGGGTACTGTGTGTTAAGTGAGGTCTGATGATGGTTACATAAATCACATAATGGTCGGGTACTGTGTGTACCCCCAGGTCTGATGATGGTTACATAAATCACATAACGGTCGGGTACTGTGTGTACCCCCAGGTCTGATGATGGTTACATAAATCACATAAAAATCAGGTACTGTGTGTAAAGTGAAGTCTGATTACGGTTACATAAATCACATAAAGGTCGGGTACTGTGTGTAAAGTGAGGTCTGACGACGGTTACATAAATCACATAAAGGTTGGGTACCGTGTGTAAAGTGAAGTCTGATGACGGTTACATAAATCACATAAAGGTCGGGTACTGTGTGTAAAGTGAGGTCTGATGACGGTTACATAAATCACATAAAGGTCAGGTACTGTGTGTTAAATGCCTTGGGCTGTTATTTTGCAAGACAGGTACATAATCTTCATCAACCCTAAATTTAAAAAGGTTATGTTCCTATGAATCTGATTTTAATTTTGATTGTATGTAAATATCTAATGGTGACTATGATGTACAGTAAAAATACAATACAAGTATTATAAGATAATTTTAAGCCTGATGATGAGTTGAAATATTAAACTATTTGTTTTTATCTATGTTTTATCGTTATATTTTAGCACATTTTTATCACACAATGTACTGTGTTATCCAGCGAATATACCCATGTCATGCTTTTTTGCGTATTAATCCATGTAATCTTGATTATGTGATAAATTGGATGTTACTCTGTTTCATTCCATATGAAATTTATGAAACTTGTATCAAAATGGGCCTGAATTGCTCACCTGGTATTATTAATCTCGCATAAATAATCTTAAAAGTGGACTAAAATACAGCTACAGGTAGAATATCAGAGTTTGATTCATATTAACCTATTAAAAGATTTAAACATATGACACCTGTGACCTTGAATGTCGAACAAGGACATAAGATTGAACATAAAGTCGTCCAACCAAGCATGTTTCTGGCAAAATATCACTATCCTGGACCTTTTGGTTATACAGAACAAGTCATTTAAAGATTTGAACATATATTGACCAATGTGACCTTGAATATGAGTGAAGGTCATTCATTTGAAAAAAAACTTGGCAGTCCTTAATCCCAAGCTTTATTTTAGATCACTTTTAAGGCTACAAGTGTAAGATTTATACCAGGTGAGCGATGCAGGCCCATTGGGCCTCTTGTTCAGAAGTAGTTTTAAAGGTTTAAAACATATTTGACTCCTGCAACCTTGAAAATGGTTGAAAGTCATTTGTTTGAACAAACTTGGAAGCCCTTCATTTTAGCATGTTACTGGCCAAATATCATCACCCTAGGCCTCTTGGTTATTCAGAAGAAGTCGTTCAAAGGTTTTAAACATATTTGACCCCTGTCACCTTTAATATATGTGAAGGTCATTCGTTTGAACAAACTTGGTAGTCCTTCATCCTAGCATACTACTGGCCAAATATCATCATCCAAAGACTTTTGGTTTTTGAGAAAAAAATGTTTAAAGGTTTTAAAGATATTTGAACCCTGTGACTGGGAAAATAGATGAAGGTCATTCATTTGAACAAACTTGGTAGCCCTCCATCCCAGCATGTTATTGACCAAATATCATTATCCTATGCCTCTTGGGTATTCAGAAGAAGTTGTTTGAAGGTTTTAAACATATTTGACCCCTGTGACCTTGAAAATGGGTTAAGGTCATTCGTTTGAACAAACTTGATAGTCCTTCATCCAAGCATGCTCTTGGCCAAATATCATCATTCAAAGCCATTTGGTTATTGAGAAGAAATTGTTTTAAAGGTTTTAAATATATTTGAACCCTGTGGCCTTGAAAATAAATGAAGGTCATTTGTTTGAACAAACTTGGTAGCCCTTTATCCCAGCATGTTACTGGCCAAATATCATTATCCTATGCCTCTTGTGTATTCAAAAGAAGTTGTTTTAAGGTTTTAAACATATTTGACCCCTGTGACCTTCAATATAAGTCCAGGTTATTTATTTAAAGAAACTTTGTAGCCCTTCATCCCAGCATGTTACTGGCCAAATGTCATCACCCTAGGCCTCTTGGTTATTTTCAGAAGAAGTCATTCAAAGGTTTTTAACATATTTGACCCCTGTGACCTTGAATATAAGTCAAGGTCATTTATTTGAACAAACTGGTAGCCCTTCATCCCAGCATGTTACTGGCCAAATGTCATCACCCTAGGACTCTTGGTTTTTAACATATTTGACCCCTGTGACCTTTAATATAAGCCAAGGTCATTTATTTTTAGAAAATTGATAGCCCTTCATCCCAGCATGTTACTGGCCATAAATCATCACCTTAGCTTTCTCGGTTCTTCTTCAGAAGTTGTTTAAAGGTTTAACAATATTTGACCCCTGTGACCTTGAATATAAGTCGAGGTCATTAATTTGAACAAACTTGGTAGCCCTTCATCCCAGCATGTTTATGGCCAAACATCATCACCCTAGGCCTCTTGGTTATTCAGAAGAAGTCATTCATGGATTGTAAACATACATGTATTTGACCCCTGTGACTTTGAAAATGAATGAAGGTCATTTATTTGAACAAACTTAGTAGCCATTCATCCCAGCATGCTTCTGGCCAAATATCATCACCCTAACCCTTTTGATTACCGAGAAGTTGTTTAAAGTAAAAAGTTGACGCCAGACGGAAGCTGCATCATGCCAGTCTGAATCCCTTCACCGAAATTTAAATAGTCTTGTAAAGATTTACCCATCTTCTCTATACTACATCAGAAAACAACAAACACATGTCGGGTGCAGTAAACAGAGTTTAATGAGTGTAGCACATTCGCATATTACATATACAATCAAACCCTTAATACAATATACTCACATCCTTTTCCCAGTTCACTTTCTCGTACTTTATAACAAGAGGCCTTAACGGTCACCTGATATATTTATACAGAGTTAATTTTGTTTTTTTACATGAACAGAAATATTATTCAAAGTGACAAAAAACAATAAAACCACCTTATTCAATATCTAGCATACAGATTTAAAACTGAAAAGTATTTGAAACTAGCACCTCTGAATCTAAACAAGGAAAATGAAGATATTTTAGCACACTGACTCCTTTGGGTCCCACCCTACAGCCCTTGGAGGTAGGGCTGGCACAAAAATGTCAAAGTATCAAACTGTCAACTCAGTGTTATAATTCCAATCAAGTTATTAACATGTAATATTCAAAGTATCATTTGCCATTATAAACCATAATAAATTCTGCCCCTCCTTCCCCAGGGGGTAAACATGAGACCCTAGGGTACTAAACCTTAAGACCCTTCCATTTATGAAGAGTGTTTGATTCCACAATATCTGGGTCTTTGAGAAGAAGATTTTTGAAATTTCAGTCAAAGCCCCACCCATCAGCCCCGGGAGGGTCAGTCAGTGCTGATATGTGCATACCATCAAACTGCTATCCAATACTGATAATGCTAACCCAAATTGAATTACTTCCAATGGAAATTAAACAAATGTTGGTCCAAAATGTGATTTCCCTATATAAACTATAGTAAAGTTTACCCCCTCCCCAGGGGGAAACGTGAGACCCCAGGGTCATGAAATTCACAATTTTGGTAAAGCACCTTAAGACCCTACCATCTATGAAGAGTATTTATTTCTATCGTATCTTGGTGTCTTGAGAAGAAGATTTTTGAAATTTCAGTCAATTCGACCCTTTTTGGCCCAACCCATCAGCCCCTGGGGGTCAGTCAAGACTTATATGTGCAGATTATCAAACTGCTACTTAATACTGATAATGCTAACCTAAATTGAATTACTTCCAATGGAAATCAAACAAATGTTGGTCCAAAATGATATTTCCCTATATAAACTATAGTAAAGTTTACCCCCTCCCCAGGGGGAAACGTGAGACCCCAGGGTCAAGAAATTTACAATTTTGGTAAAGCTCCTCAGGTGACCTAAAAAATCCTATCTGTATAGCAGATATCGAAACAGTTATCTAAAAAGAAACCAAGCAAGCCACCCAACCTTCAACCCTTCTGTGACTTCAGGAGGTGCACCAGACCTGAATGCTTAGGCTTCAAACATTCTGGGATTCTACATAAACCTGTACTGCTTCTAACACTGCCATACGGAAACGCAAACAAAACTGATCTAAACCTAATCAAAACTTAAAAAATTCTTTAAACTTAAGTTTGAAAAATATTCCAGGTAAAAACAAATTATTACGTGTTACTGTGACCAATGCGTTAGAAAAGTGGCGTACCTACCCGCGTACCATTGCACCCCCACAACAAAGCACAAGCCAACACTCTGATTGGCTGACAAGATCTGACTCGGTCCACACGTAATTCCACCCCTGACTAATACGTACCGACAAGACAAATAATTCCCGCTATTACATCGAAACGTGGGAATATTTTATTCATGTCCTTTTTCAGGCCCTGGCTGCCCTTCTGTCACCAACTTAATTTATAACAAACTTCATAAATAGTTTTGGAGAAAACAATGTTCAGGATGACGGAATCATAGTCAACAATGTTCCACAATACATGTATGTAGCGATAATACAAAAGTGGATTGAAGTACATAGCATAACAAATATTTGAAAATCACAATAATTTCAGAGATCTTTAGGAGAAAGGTTTTATTTCCAAAACGAAACTATTCCACTGAAATGTTGTGAAACAAAGAAATATCACTCATCTTATAATTTCTCAATTTTCATATGAATATTTTGGACATTTCAATCGCAATATAACAAAAAAAAAATTCTCAAATGGTAAACATACATGTTTATATATATAGAAACTGATGAGATCACTAGTGCTCATCAATGTTCAACATAACTCATACATTTCCCTCCATATATATCACACAAAAAAATCATTATGTCCAATTCTGCCAAATAAAATCTCAACATATATTTGTTTTCAAGAGAAAATTTTGGATGTTTAAAGGATTGACTTCTTAAAGAAAATGATTATGCTGATTTATATAATACTATTTAACACCCCTAGGTAATCTGAGTAGACTCTACAATATATTCATCTGGATGAGTCAATGATGGTCTACAGTGGTGAAAGGGTTAATTTGAAAAATCATTTCTTTATATATATATATGTTACATCCAGGATGTCTAGATATGTCTAGGTATGTTATCAGTTGACTCAGTCCTCCTCCGGGATGTCTAGGTATGTTATCACTTGACTCAGTCCTCCGCCGGGATGGTTAGGTATGTTATCAGTTGACTCATTCCTCCGCCGGGATGTTTAGGTATGTTATCAGTTGACTCAGTCATCTGCCGGGATGTTTAGGTATGTTATCAGTTGGCTCAGTCCTCCGCCGGGATGTCTACGCATGTTATCAGTTGACTCAGTCCTCCTCCGGGATGTCTAGGTATGTTATCATTTGACTCAGTCCTCCGCTGGGATGTCTCGGTATGTTATCAGTTGACTCAGTCCTTCGCCGGGATGTCTAGGTATGTTAACAGTTGACTTAGTCCTCCGCCGGGATGTCAAGGTATGTTATCAGTTGACTTAGTCCCCCGCCGGGATGTCTAGGTATGTTTTCAGTTGACTCAGTCCTCCGCTGGGATGTCTAGGTATGTTATCAGCTGACTCAGTCCTCCGCCGGGATGTTTAGGTATGTTATCAGTTGACTCAGCCCTCCGCCGGGATGTCTAGGTATGTTATCATTTGACTCAGTCCTCCGCTGGGATGTCTAGGTATGTTATCAGCTGACTCAGTCCTCCGCCGGGATGTTTAGGTATGTTATCAGTTGGCTCAGTCCTCCGCCGGGATGTCTGGGTATGTTATCAGTTGACTCAGTCTTCAGAAGGGATGTTTAGGTATGTTATCAGTTGACTCATTCCTCCGCCGGCATGTCTAGGTATGTTATCAGTTGTCTCAGTCCTCCGCCGGGATGTCTACGCATGTTATCAGTTGACTCAGTCCTCCTCCGGGATGTCTAGGTATGTTATCAGTTGTCTCAGTCCTCCGCCGGGATGTCTGGGTATGTTATCAGTTGACTCAGTCATCTGCCGGTATGTTTAGGTATGTTATCAGTTGGCTCAGTCCTCCGCCGGGATGTCTGGGTATGTTATCAGTTGACTCAGTCCGCCGCCGGGATGTCTAGGTATGTTTTCAGTTGACTCAGTCCTCCGCTGGGATGTCTAGGTATGTTATCAGTAGACTCAGTCCTCCGCCGGGATGTCTGGGTATGTTATCAGTTGACTCAGTCTTCCGCCGGGATGGCTAGGTATGTTATCAGTTGACTTAGGATGATGCAGAAGAAGACAGTAAAATCTGTAGGTATGTTATCAGTTGACTCAGCCCTCCGCCGGGATGTCTAGGTATGTTATCAGGTGACTTAGTCCTCCGCCGGGATGTCAAGGTATGTTATCAGTTGACTTAGGATGATGCAGAAGAAGACAGTAAAATCTGTAGGTATGTTATCAGTTGACTCATTCCTCCGCCGGCATGTCTAGGTATGTTATCAGTTGCCTCAGTCCTCTGCCGGGATGTTTAGGTATGTTATCAGTTGGCTCAGTCCTCCGCCGGGATGTCTGGGTATGTTATCAGTTGACTCAGTCCGCCGCCGGGATGTCTAGGTATGTTATCAGTTGACTTAGGATGATGCAGAAGAAGACAGTAAAATCTGCCAGGAAATGCTTCTAGCAAAAAGGATGTCAGTTTTCATCTGTAAATTAAATCAATATTTTTAACAAGAAGTAAAACATCATACACATACGTAACAGTCTGTTAAAGGGAGCACACACCTAGTAAACATAGCACCCCAGCAACTTCACTCTTTTCTACACAAGATTTTACATTAGAAAATTTCTAGAATGGCAAAATTGTCTATACATAGGAGACTGTGACTGTGACCATTAAACACTGAAATGCAAACAGGTTCACAGCAGTCTAATGTTAAATCAAAATCTGTACTAAATTGCACTGGTTAGTTATAACTCAAAACATTTTTGGAAAGAGCCAAACAGTTTCAGATTGAAAAACGGTATTTAAACGAGTATCATTTCATAAAGCCGAGTGTACCTTATATTCTAACATAAGACATATTTACATTAATAGGAGGTATTATCATCACCCAAATAGACCAAAGTTGCTGGAATTAATATCGTCTATGAACAGGAGTACATCGAAAAATATTGCCAATTCCATTTTTAAAGCGAATGAGATGCAGAACAATACTTTATTTAATCAGGAGTAATGTCCGCCCTGATGTTGTGAAACCTGCATTTAAGTATGGAATGTCACTGTTTTTACTTCATTATATATTTATTTAAATTTAATTCTTTGTACCACTACATAAATCCTTGTATATGCAATGTATTCATGGCACAAAGATATTTGTGTCTATTGCTGAATAAAGAACATTAAAAGCAGGCACGGTAGTCTAGTGGTAGGACGCCGTGCTCATGACCGAAGGGTTGCCGGTTCGAGTCACGGCACGGCACGGCACGGCACGGCACTGTGTTGTATCTTTGAGCAAGATTCTTTACTCTACTTGTTCCAGTCTAATCAGCTGTAAATGAGTATGTGGTTGGGCAGTGCTAGAATTGTAGAATGCTAGATGTGAGCACCGAAATGGCAGCACCGGCTGTATGCTCCCCATGGAGTTGAGAAAGATATTGGCTGGTTGCAAAGGCCCTTTAACCACGGATAATAATTTGTGAACCGCTTGGAGACGACCTACGAACTAGGTTGTGATAAAGTAGTATATAAGAACCTCAAATTATTATTATTATTATTATAAAAGACTACAGAGGAAATTCAAATATATGTAAAAATATCCTATTACTTACATTGTTGTTGCCTTAATTTAGCCAGTTCTCTTCTCTCTTGTATACGCCTTTCTTTTCTCTTTTTCCTGTGAAAACGGAAAAAACCCAGCCTATAGTAATAAGTCTAACTAAACCAATATATATGCAATAGACTTCAGAAACCAGTTTCCTTTCACAAGAAAAAGTCCATTTACTGAGTTTGGCATAATAATTTCAACCAAGTTTAAATTATATCCTATTAAAAACAAACAAAATATAACCAAAAGTGCTATTTCTCTATAAACTATGGTTAACTTCTCCCCAGAAGTGGGTGACCCAGGGTAATCAAATTCATAACTTTGAAAAAGCACCTCAATACATTTCCACCCATGAAGGGTATTGATTCCAGAATATCTGGATCTGAAGAAGAAGATTATTGAAATGTTTGCCGATCTGACTCCTACCCCTCCATATTATTCATTATTTTGGTTCCCCTTTGACCATGACACCTTCCTACATCATTTCATTGAAATTTGTTCAGTGGTTTTGAGAGGAAGTCAAAAATGCTAATAAGTTTATGAAAGATGGATGACGCATGACGACAGACGACAGACGGATGTCAATAGCTAACATGAACGATCATGCGAGATAAAAAGCCATCGTAATGATCCATTCTGCTTTAAACCAGAATATATTTTTAAACATACATATGACTGATTCTGCTTAAATGGAAATAGAGTTAATAAACAAATTTTAACAACAACTGGTGTCTATGTCTCTGGCCCTACTCTTAATCATACCTTAAGATGATTTTTGTGAATAAAATTGTTAAGGGTACGTAGTTATTTCATGATTAACTAATTTCAGCTCTTGGCAGCCATTTTGCATACTTTAGGCACTGAGGTAATTTACTTAACTTACACAGAATGAAATTTCATAATTGATCCAATCTGCATCAAAACAACTAATACGCCTGTGAAGATGCCAATATCACGCCACATTTTTTTCTGTTTTGCCATAGCATCCCTCTCATTCATATGGTGTGCTTTCCTTTTGTCAGTGGCTTCCTTCCAACTCTGTGCTCTTCGCTGATGTCCCTGTTGGAAGTATACATCTTCATATGGATTCCATCCCTCTCTAAAACTTTAAACAAGAAAAATGTTGTCATCAAATGCAAAAAAGAATCATCAATAGGGAAATCAACTTTGAAATGTTTTAATATTGAATGTGATATAGTAAACAAGAGGACTAATGCAGGGTTCCAACTGTAGTGAGTAGACTGTAAAAATACCTTCCTACTACAGATATGGCAAGCAAATTCATGGAATTTATATCCCCCGCTTGCAGGACATATTGTAGGTTTACATTATTGAGAATAAGTTAAAACATGTGAGTATCGTGCTGTTGAGACAAAATGTAAAGTTTGAAAACTTGAAGAAGAAAAAAAAGGGCCTATACCTCATTGATTATCCGTAAATATGCACAAATCACATCAGTTGGCAAACTTAGCATGAGTTGGATGTGAATAAGGAATTTGGTTGAAACATCTTAACAATATCTACAGCAATTATCACACGGAAAACAAAGAGTGCCCAAGATGGGTGGAAAGACAGAGGAACACAAGCATTGTTATCAAGTTTGAAGGAATTTGGCTAATATTTGCTAGAGTTATTAAGCGAAAACTGCAGATAATGACGTTTTTCGTTAATCAAGGGGCCATAACTCTGCCAAATAGGAGAGTCTACTGAAAGCGGTCATCATACTTTGCCGAGCCCCTAAGGCATTTAACCCTGTGACCAAGTTTGAAGAAAAACGCTTAACATTAGTTGTAGTTATTGCACGGAAACGAAGCATGGCAGATACTGGCGTTTTTCATTATTCAAGGGGCCATAACTCTGCCGAATGGGGTCCGCTGAAAATGGTCATCAATCTTATCCAAGCCATGAAGGCATATAACCCTGTGACCAAGTTTGAAGAAAATTGGTTACTATTTGTTGTAGTTATTGCACAGAAACAGGGGCCTCCATTGAGTTGCCATTTTAACAGATTTTGAAATAAGTTATATGTCATATTACAGGGTGTAATTAGACAATACTTTAATTTTCATTCAACTATAAGCTTTTATAAACCTAGAAACCAATTTTTAACAATTTATGAAAACTACACCAAAGAATATGATAATCTAGCTGTACCTTTTCATAGGACCACAGGGGTCAAATCAACCTCATTCAATTAAGAAATGTTTGTTCTTCTTAATGTTTATGTACAAATTTTATACAATCCACTAAAGCAATTAGGGGGTATATATTAGTGTCTTAAAACAAAATATTAGATACTTTTCCTCTTTGGGGCCCTACCTTCCTTGCCCCAGGGGTCAAACAAGCCTCATTTATTTAAGAGATGATTGCCTTCCCCTACTGTTTCTTCAGACTTAATCTTCCCCTTTTGGGCCTGGCCTTCCTAGCCCCAGAAGTCGAACCAGCCTAATTTATTTAGGAAATGATTGCCCTCCCCAAATGAAGTTTCAGAGCAAATTTGGTTAAAATCGTCTCTGATGTTTCTTCGGAGATGTGTTTTAAAGCAAATTAACCTAAGATCCTCTTCAGGGCCCCACCCCCCTAGCCTCAGAGGTCGAACCCACAACATTTATTTTGGAAATGATTGCCCTTCCCTACTGATGCTTCGGACTAAATTTGGTCGAAATCCCACCTTGGATTTAGCAGGAGATGCATTTTCAAGCAAATTTAGTTAAGTTCCCTTTCAGGGCCCCACCCCCCTGGCCTCAGGGGTCGAACCTCATTTTTTTAAGAAATGATTGCCCTCCCCTAGTGATGCTTCAGACAAAATTTGGTTGAAATCCTCTCTGATGTTTAGGAGGAGATGCGTTTTAAAGCTAATTTAGCTAAGTTCCCCTTCAGGGGCCCCGCACCCCTGGCCTCAGGGGTCGAACCAACCTCAATTATTTAAGAAATGATTGCCCATCCCTGCTGATGCTTCAATTTAAATTTGGTCATTCGAAGGGGACACATAATAAACCTTGACTGATGCTCAAACTTCACTGCATGATAGACAATGATCCAATTATTCAGGCTTTGTTTGAATGAAATGACATATACAACTGTTAAATGGTGACACACTTGGAGTCTGGTGCTAGTCTAACTGACTGTTAAATGGTGACACACTTGGAGTCTGGTGCTAGTCTAACTGACTGTTAAATGGTGACACACT